TTTAACACGTGTTAAAACGCTCTACTTGCAACTCGCTCTCGACCGTTTATGGAGGTTCATTCGGGGAGTAGTCCTGCCTAGGTACACCGTGCTCCGTGATCCGACAGACAGTCCCACATCAGCGACGGCCCCCTCCATCAGTTGTGAGATACCCTCTGTGGAAACTGAAACGCTCGAGAAGTGAGTATTCGAATTTTGTGGCGCAGTGACGTTTTTAGAGCAACACTACTCGGATGAAAACATGCGCATCGGATTTTCGCCACATTCATTGCAAAAATGCCGTAGAAAGCTTTGTATCGATATAATCGTTTGAAAAATATTCTGCTTTTTTAATATTTTTGATCTACATAAACGTCATGAGAGCTCATCGCTGATTACATCACACGATTAAAAGATGATTCAAAATCATCTTCTCTTCACTTTAAAACGTTCGTGTCTTCTCAGATTCCCACATATTCACCCGGACTACATCGTTCGTGCAGAGCAGAAGCTAGCCTCGGGTCAACTGCCGGGGATTGCCTCTCAACACCTGTCGAGGGAAGCTGTGACGAGGCTGCATGAGGAGCTGTTGGAAAACGATTATGCGGTGTATTTACCCGATGCTTTTACGAAGGAGACTTTCAAAGAGGTGGGGTCATGATTGTTGTTTTAAACTGGTGGTGTATCGGTTTCATTCACTCTTGCTGGGACTATAACGATGTTGTAGTGTGGTGAAATATGTGGGAAATTTTATGGAAATTTCGAGAAATTCTGTACAATTCTACACTAATAAGCATATAAACTACTATGATTAGTGAGGAAACTCCTGAATATTGCTATATTGAGAATAGCGCATATTAGTCTGGTGTTGATTTTTTGAGAATAATGAAGTCTCGCCCGTGATACCAGAAAAAAATAGTGGAGAAACATATTTCACAATTCCCTTCGCTGAAAACAACTGTGTTATCGGTCGCGGAAACGTATACGTCTTATACTTTGCAGGGAGTATTACGCCACTTTACGTTATGCGGGTGAAACTCCGATGAAAAAAATTTCAACGAGTATTTAGATTCAGTGATGAATTTGAAGTTTACTTCTTCTTCTTGTTGTTGGTAGATCCTTGAGGAAGCGGAACGATTATGGAGAATTGGGGAGAATAAAACGTCGGGGATGGAAGCCAACTGTAATCTTGACGGCAACGACAGAATGGGCGGGTAAGAGTGCGGGAAGGGGAAGGACGTTTTATGAGGGGAAATTTATTCTGGAATAGAACACATTTGATTTGTGGCCATATCATTTTGGGATGGGCTCGCTTTGTCAACTATTGTTTTTATCATGTCGAGATCGTCTCGCTCTTTAGCGTTTATGATTCGTATTTCTGGTTGGTTGAGTTCGTGCGTGACTGAGGAGAATTCGATGATTTTACGGTAATTTTTCCTCGAATTATCCCCGTGATGGTGGATATGTGATGGGCTTTTGTAATAGAATGCCTCATCCAATTTTCGACTACTGAGGCTTAGTTTTTTTTCTCGGGATGATATATGAACACAGGATTGCCGAAGAGAAAGTTCTGAGATCTTATGGAACACGCAACAGCAATACGCATTCCACGAAAAAAATCGTCTAGAAATTTTTTGAACTTGTTTTGAAATTTTTGGGATTTTTCCTGGGTTTTTTTTCCTGGATTTTTGGATTTTTTTCCGAAAATTTTCATAATCGTCTGCGGTGTGCTCAGGCGAGTTTTGTGCAGGTATGTTGGGTACGAGTCGAAGCTGTATGATCTGATATTCGGGGGCAATTTCAGATTATGGGCATCTCTTGTGAGTTTAGGGCAAGTCTCGATGAGCTCGTCTGTGGTTGATCGTTGCATTTACTGAAAACACTGGTACATCATATACTATTATTACATCGCTACCTTGTGGAGTGAAATTTTCAAGGGGGAGTGTTGGAGTGTGATACTTCAGAACCCGACAGGAATAATATCAGTGGTAGGTGAGAGAAACTATTATTTTCGATTTTCTGAACTAAGCAATAATGCGGACGATACTTGTATTATAAGAGTGGCACATCACATAGGGGAATATATCCCCGTTTCCCTCAGTTGAGCTCAGGAGTTTCCTTAATAATCATAGGAGTTTACATACAAATCCGCATGATATGTAAG